AAAGCCCAATCCCTGGACCAGGATGCAGCAAGCAAATGACAGAGGCTTGAGGGTCATACGTGGACCTCTGCTTGCACAAAGAGGTGCAAGCACCTGGGGAGCACTGGGAGGTGTGTGGGGAGGACTAGCGCCGTTCTGTGCTATGTGGGGACAGCCAGGTCACACAGATACAGACTGTGTCTCACCCTTGTCCCTTTGCAAGGGTTCAGGCCAGGCCCAACTGAGGTTGCCAAGCCTCTCTCTTCTGTCTCTGCTGCCTAGCACTCTGCTGAGATGCTAATGCACTCTCTGGCAGGCGGGCCTGTAATTCAGTCTCTACCTTATTCCTTTTCCCCATAGCTCAGCGGGCACTTAGCAAGACGGAAATTTCAGGAACCTGAACCTGCCTGCTTGGTGATCTGAGGGCTCTGTGACTTGGGTCCAACCCAGGAGACACACTCTGTCACTTTGGCAGTCACTGCAGTGCCAAAGGGCTCCTGAATGGCCACTGAGAGTTCACCTCAAGGGCACTGATGGGAAATCAGCTCAGGCTGCACTGCCCAGGAGGGCTGGGCTGTGCCCTGCTAGGAACCTCATCCTCCAGTGCTCCTGGGCAGCACTGGGAATCCCGAGTCATAAGTGCCTCTCTTCCTGGGACAGAGTAGCAGGTGGCCAGCTGAGAAGTCTCCCCTTGTGGGCTCCATGGATCAGTCTGTGCACATGGTGTGCGCTCCCTGAAGTAAGACGGTACAGGGGCAGGAGGCGGTGGCGGTGCTGGAATGTTCCTGTACTGGACAACATCCCAGAGCAGGGGAGCAGAAGGAGAGGGATGTGAGTGACTTCCGGGCCCCACAGCTGCACACGCCACCTCATGAAGACATGGGGGAGGTGGAAGCCTGGTGGCGGTTCTTCACCTCCAGTCGCCCTACGACAGGCTTCAGAGCCTTCTGCTCCTGGTCGCAGTCCGCCCATCCCCCACGTCCCCACAGAAAGGACCACCTGTGGGAGCACCTGTGGAGGCAAGGGCAGCTTTTCTCTGCGCCTTGATGGGCTCCCCTGTAGATGCAGGAACTGCACTAACTGCATTGGTGGTTATGAGGATAAAGATGAGCCTGCAGCAAGAGCTTAGGATGGTGTCTGGCATGGATGGTTCTGCACCGATGACACCGCTGTAGATGTCGCAGCCATGGTCGCACCATGGCTTAGAAGAGGGGCTTTGGCCAGCAGAGATCCCTCCCACTAACACCGCCCAGGGACAAGGCTTGTAAGAGCATTTTGATGTTTAGGAAACTTGATGTAAATCATTGCTCAAGCAGGAGATACTGGCGGCCACCATCACATCAGGGCTTCCTCCTCCGGGGCCAGGGAGAGTATCAGTGCCTTCTGCTCCACCTGCGTTGCTGCCTCCTGGCGTGGTTCTGAGAGGTGCTCCCCTGAGGTCTTCACCCCTGTTCCTGGGATTTGGCTACGGGGTCTGGAATGGCCCTGGGCAACAGGAAGAGAGAGTCCCTAACACCTCAGAGTGATGCTCTGGTGGCCCCCTGCTCTTGGTCTCAGTGTCAGGTGCACATGACTGGCTGAGGTGAAGCCGATGGGGGCAGTGGTGGGAACCCCCAGCCCTGCTCCTAAGGGCTGCTCCAAACACGGCGGGGAGCGAGGAGGCGGAGAACCAGGAGCGCCAGAACAGAGCTGAGCTCATCTGGCCACCACTGAGGGAGGCTGACGGCAGCCTTCCTTTGAAGAACAAAGGCAAAGGAAATTGGCTCCAGGATGAGAATGGAGTGGTCACAATGCACTCCAGAGAAATCAAAATGAGTTCTAAGCCAGTTCCCTCAGCAAAGTACGGGATCCTGAAGAGTACAGGGGGACTACGTGAGGCCTTTGAAGGGTGAAATTTTTTACCTTCAGATGCTTCTGTAAAGCGATTTTGGCGTTAGCTGAGATGGAGCAAATCAAGGCCTGGGGAGGTGTCTGGTCCTCAGGTCACACCATGAGTTTCCCCCAGAAGCTATCGGGTAGAGGTTGAGGGGCTCACCAACAGCCCTGGGGCAGCCCTCCAGGCCAGAGGGACTCTTGGCTGTTAAAAGGCAAGTGTTGCTAGTCCAATTTCAGACAGTGCAGTACTGGGCTGGCCAACGTCAAGGACTTCTTGCAGGACCCCTCCGCCCCCACGACCACCCTGTCTCTGTAGCTTCTTCCTGAGGGCCTCCTTTTAAAGTGTGTGCTCTCCAACTGGGCTCCACCAGAGGTGTGCCTGCCCTTGCTGGACAGCAAGGCAGCACTGCTAGGGAGAGGGTACAGGGCAGCTTTGGATCTCAGGGGAAAATGGGCTGGTGTGCAAAATAGGATTCTGGCTGTGAGACAGTTCAAGGAAACCTGAAAGGAAGAGACAGATGGCACCCTGGGTCAGTAACCTCTGCTGGCTCGAAGGCCCCAAGCACGTGGAAGGAATGGCTGGCAGGAAGAGCAGAGATGGCAGCATGTAGGAGCTCGGCATGGATGCCAGGGAGTAAACCAGCAGCTGGACCTCCCATTCCACCCCTCTGACCTTGCTGGCACCACCACTGCTGTAATCCTGAGGGATCTTGGGTCCTGGTGAGGCAGGCGTTAAATGTGGGTTCCAGGGATGTTTCCTCTTGGTCCAAAGCCCAGTGCTGCTATCAGAGAACACAGTGTCCTGGGCGCCGGTCAAGGCTGTGCTTGTGGCGGGGAGCACATGTTTGAACAAAGCCTTCATCCTTGGAGGCATCAGCAGCAGGGCCACGACTTAAAAAGCTCCACTTCCAGCACTGGCTCTTTTTCATCTGGCTAACCTGGAACGTACATTTCAGAGTCAAATAGAATTCCTTAAACAAAGTATTGCAAGTGATAAGCACAGAATGTTTTGATTTTTATCTCCTTTCTCTTCCAACCCTAAAGCCCCATAGAATGTCCCAGTAAGAGTGTAAGGACCACTTTGTGGCTAACTGCCAAAACCCTTGTCGCCCTCAGCCCCAGCTTCCCTGGGGCCTTTGCTTTTCTGGCCCGTGTCTGTACCCAGGTTCAGCCCGTGCAGCAGGGCCAAGCCAGTGACTAGCCAGCAGCATCTACCTGCTTACCAGATGGGGCTGCGCCCAGGGCCTCCCGCTCCCATTTTGGCAAAGCCACGGGTTGTCATCCAGCTTCCTTTATTAATTACATTTCTTTTCATTTGGCCTCCTCTACCCTCAGCCCATTTCCCTTTCCTCTCAGATTTAAGTCCTTCTTAGGAATCATCCTCAATTCTACTCAACCGACCTTGTCCTGGGCTCTTGGGCTGCATCTCTTTGAACCATTTCCTTCCTGCCCAGGCGTATCTGTCATGCAGGTCAGAATGGTGGTTGGTGTCTGCCTTCCTTGGAATGATGCTGGTTTTGTGCTCCCCCCGAGGGGGAGCCCGCGAGGGGCCTGGTGGGGTAGCAGGCTGGTGACTGTGGACGCCTTCGAGTTGGCCTCTGCCCACTGAGAGCCCATCTGAAACGGAAGGGCCTCAGAAAGCAGGACTGTGCCCCCAGATATCAGCGAGCTGCACCAGCAGAGAACAAAGCTCAGTTCTGGCTTGGCCCAGCTGGGTCCCCAAACAAACAAATAACAAGTACAATACTCTAGTGTTCAGTCTAGACAGAGTGAGTTAAACGAGGATCACAATGATCTAATGAAAATAAAATGAAGATCTAGCTGGAGCAGAGCTGACAGGATGGGTGGCTGGGTCTGGCGTGTGGTGGGGACACACTAATGTGTCACACAAGGACTGTACTTTCAGAGTGGTTAGTTCTGCACCCCTGCTCAAGCCTTCTGAGCAGACCAGGCAATTGAGGGCCAGAGAAAAGCAGATGACAAAGACAGAACTCCATTTACAGATTATTTATTTCAAAGAGTTACAGAAGAGAGAGGGAGAGAGAGGGGAGGGAGACTGTCCAGCCACTGGTTCATTCCCCAAATGGCCTCAACATCCATGGCTGGGCAAGGCCAAAGCCAGGAGCGAGGAGCCCATGCGCTTGAGTTTCTTCTGCTGCCTTCTCAGGCACACCAGCAGGGGGCTGGATGAGAAGTGGAGCAGCTGGAACTCAAACTGGCATTCACATGGGATGCTGGCGTTGCAGGTGGCAGCTTTACATGCCACACCACAATCCAGCCCTGATGGTACTTAATTTACTAGTAGAACTTTCCAATCCCAAAAGATGATGGAGTTACAAAACAGAATCAGAGCTGCTATCTCGGGGTTTTTCGGCAAGAGACCAGCAGCCAAGCTGCCCAGCGGCTCGGCCCTGCCAGAGAGGGCAAGGGGAACAGCTCACCCCTCGGTCTCTGCCAGTACCACGGGAAAGGGAAAGATACCTCTAGCCGACAGGGTCATAGTTCTCAAAGAGTGGCTCGCAAGCCCTGGAAAATGCCTCAAGCTCAGCAGACGATCTATGGGCTCCTGACAGGAAATAACAATCAGGACGGGAGAAGGAGGCTGAGGAAGATACATGAGCACCAATTGGAAAGCCCAATCAGGACACGTTGACACGGGGTGCTCTGGCCAGCAGGCACCCCCAGAAAAAGCACATTAAGGGTGCTAACGAAGCACTGACAGAGCCATGAAGGCAACGCACACCAGCGTTCTCTTTGCCTCCCTCAGCACTTCGACAAGGAACTGCGAGAAGCACGTGGGTTACCTTCCGCTGTGCAGTGGGTTCGTACACCACAGGCTCCTGCGCTGCTGCCGAGGGGCGGGTCACTTTGGAGGACTGACCAGCGATGGCTTGGTGGGAGGGGGTTGGGAGGAAGCTAGGGTAGTGCTTCACAAAGGGAAAGGCCAATGCAAGCTGCTGCCGGGAAGTCAAGGAAAGCACCTGTTCACCTGGTTTGACCTCAAAGGGCAAAATCACTTCACCAGGTGGCTCGTGCTGACCACGCCAGCAGCAAAACCTGTAGTGCATGGCACTGTAGGACCTAATTATGTTCACCTCTGGTGAGCATAAAAATTACATGCATGGGTAACATCTTTTTTTTTATTAATGCAATCAATACATTCGAAATTTAGCAGCAAGCTAATGGTAATCTGATATAAAATCTCCTAGTTTCCTACTTATTTAAAATAAGTTGTTTGAAACCATCCACAGCAACTTGAAATCACAAGAACACAGAGGAATGACTGACGCCCTCTGGCAAGTTTATTTGTCACTTTGGAACAGTTTTGCAGTGCAAAGTGCACACATTCACTGGGAACCTTCACTATTGTATTGGGCCTCTTATTTTCCCCTATAAATAACTGTGCCTAAATATAAGAATTTGAAGTCAAACTGAGCCAAGTGTGCCCACAACCTTGCACTGGAGGGACTCTGCCTCCTTCGTATCCCACCTAGCGCTGGCATTCACAGAGCTGATGCTGGCCGCAGCTGCTGGCAGGCCCACTGCTGCCTGTCCTTTAAGACCGTATGCAGCAGTTCATGCTGCTTTGGAGATAACCCGCTTTGGTTTTACATGGGCACAAATGCACGGCGGGGCTCAGCAGAGCTCGGAGGCTAACAGCTCGGCAGAGCGCTCTCCTTGTCCCCGTCCACCCCCTCACCTTAGCACTAGAAAGAATGGGTTTGTTTCTGTGCCATTCAGCGGAGAAGGGGTCTTAGAGTTTTTTTTTGGTTTTAGGCTGGACAGTGGATTTTGCAGTGACTTTGGCTGCAGTCCCTTGGCCTGCGGTCGCAGGGGTCTTCTCTGCTTCGCCCTTGAGATCGGCCGGAAGGAGCCTGCTAGATGTGGAAGCGGACGTGCAAGTGGAATGGCACGTGTCAACGATGTTTGCAGTTGCCTTCTTGTGGGATGTAGGAGACTCCTTTGCAGAAACAGTGGGCTAAACATAAAAGGACAGGAGCAGATTAACTTTCAGACACAGAGCTACCCACAGCAATGCACAGCAAGGAACTACAATTCTGCCCCGGATTCGCCAGGTGAAGCACTCTCTAAATCCAGGCTATAAACCAGTCACACTGTAAAACCATTAAATGCCAGAAACAGCTCCTTTAGCACCTTGAGGAAAACTGCCTTGTTTAGTGTTTGGTGTGGAGCAGACTGTACGGGCTCAATTTTAAAACCTTCACTAATGCAAAGTCACAGTCTGTCTGGCAATCTGGCTACAGGGTAGTCCACCGGGGCACACTATAAGACATCTCATTTCATCCTTCCTGGAATTAATGGTGAGAATGAGCGAGTGGCCTGTCTGCAGCAACTTGGTGCCTGGATTAGAATCGCCAGGATGTACTAATTCAGGATGTCCATACAGATAAAACACCAAAGCTTCGCTAAGCCACCTGAGCCTGGGCAGGTCTAGAGATCTCATCAAGTCTTGATGCCTCACTGGCAAATGGGGGAAAATAACACTTTCACATCTACTAAGAGGTCCATACTGAGAATGAACTGAGAGAGTAGTCACAAGTAATTTCTGTGGGTGCTATGGGAGAATACGTTGAATCTCTGCCTGCAATGTCATCATCTTATATGGGTGCTGTTCACACCCTGACTGCTCCACTTCCAATCCAGCTCCTTGCTGATGTGCCTAGGAAAGCAGAAGATAGCCCACATGCTTGGGTCCCTGCACCTACATGGGAGCCCCAGATGAGACTGCAGGCTTCTGGCCGTTGTGGCCATTTGGGGATTGAATCAGTCAACGGTGGAATATTTTCTCTAACTCTGCCATTCAAACAGATAAACCTTAAACAAACAAACAAAAAAACAAACACCTCCTCCCCCAACTGCATGCATTATGTAGCTTTAATAAACAAAACAAACAGAAAGGGTTTTTAATGAGCAGTGATGAATTCTCCGGCACCTCACTCCACAGGAGAGGAGGAATCAGTCTTGCCTCTATTGTCATGATTGAAACAGACTCCGTTTTGAGCTCAGGACTGTTTACCAAGTGACCACACAACCACATGACGTTAACTGTAGGTTTCCAAAGGTGCAGAGATGCCTCGGGGCCCTGGCATGCAGAACACAGCCAAGACCCAGGGGCACTGAGCGGGTAAGCTCCTGGGCAGAGTGGGCCGAGAAGGAGCCCTGCGTTTAATAGTCTGCTTACAATAGTCTGTTGGGTTGAACAAGCAGGAAGTAGACAACTCCCAAAGACCGTGAAAAGATCACAGATAACGCCAGAGACAGGGACCTGGTGTTCTCTTGGCTGTTTAGGCTCTTGTGACACTGTGACCACATTTCATGCAAGCAGACATGTTGCTGGCAGACATGCTGTGACTTCCCAGGGCTGCAGAACAACATTGGGCCATTTGTACTTTCTGGTGCCTATATTTCAGGATGGAGAAAATCTACCTGTTGGTTGTTAACTGCAAACAGTCCTTGAAAGAGCACCTCCTCAGAATACCCCCCTCACGTTTGACTTTGTAACAGCATATGCCAAATCTTGAGTGGGTAAACTTTTTTTTTTAATTAATTACATTGCATTATGTGACACAGTTTCATAGGTTCTGGGATTCCTCCAACCCCTTCCCCTCCCCTCTCCCCATGGTGGATTCTTCCACCTTGTTGCAGTATTACAAATCAAATTCAGTTGAGAGTCTTTCATTGCAAGCATATACCAAGCAAAGAGTCCAGCATCTAATTGTCCAGATACATTCAATGGTTTCTTGGGGAGATCTCCGGTCTGAAGGTAGAGCTGGCAGAATATCATCCTGGTCAAAAGCCCCAACTTAACATCAATGACAATTTACAACATTATGGAATTAATTGTCATGGTATTGAGTAACCAATATGTTACAAGATGCAAGCTCTCTACCTCATCCTGTGACCACTTCACTGACATTTTGGTTTTGGTTTATATATAACCAGCTTCTATACACCTTAAAATGGCTATTGGGTACTATTCAGCTGTCTCGTGTCTATCCTCATTTTAGTATTTAGTAGTCCATAGTGTTGAGGCATAGTTCTGCTGAACCTGGCTGATTTCAGGATAGTCTAAACTGGCTTATAACTCTAGCAAGGCAAAAAGAAATCAAAGGCATACGTATAGGAAACGAAGAAGTCAAGCTTTCACTATATGCGGATGACATAATCCTATACATAGAAAAACCAGGAGACTCAATACAGAAACTGCTAGAACTTATACGAGAGTTTGGCAGAGTGGCGGGGTACAAAATTAACGAACGAAAATCAACAGCCATAGTGTACGCAAATAACACCAAGATGGAAGAAGATCTAACCAACAGGATACCATTCAAAATAGCAGAGAGAAGTATGAAGTATTTGGGAATAAATCTAACCAAAAGCGTAGGAGACCTATTCGAAGAAAACTACAAACTATTTAAAAAGGAAATTGAACAAAACCTCAAAAGATGGAATAACATCCCGTGCTCCTGGATAGGCAAAATCAATATCATTAAAATGTCTATACTACCACAAGCAATATACATTTTCAACGCAATTCCAATCAAATTGCCCAAAACATTCTTCACGGAACTGGATACAATGATTCAAAAGTTCATCTGGAAACACAAAAAACCACAAATAGCTAGAACCATCCTGAAAAATAAGAAGTTAGCAGGGGGAATCACAATCCCGGACCTCTGGACATACTATAGAGCAGTGGTTATCAAAACAGCCTGGTACTGGCACAAAGACAGAAAGGAAGATCAATGGAATAGAATAGAAGCACCAAAAGGGAACCCACACAAATACAGCCAATTAATCTTTGACAAAAAGACCAATGACAGTTCAAGCAAGTGGGAAGGCCTCTTTAGTAAACGTTGTTGGGACAACTGGCTGATAGCCTGTAGAAACAAAAAGATAGACCCACATCTATCACCATACACTAAGATCCAATCTACATGGATAAAAGACCTAAACCTACATCCAGAAACCTTCAAACTCTTGCAAGAAAATGTAGGAAATACCCTGCAAGACCTAGGAGTAGGTCCCGACTTTCTAAGAAGGACACCAAAAGCAATAGCAGTTGAGAACAGAATAAACAAATGGGACCTCATCAAACTAAGAAGCTTCTGTACAGCAAGGGAAACAATCAACAAAGTAAAAAAGCAACCCACAGAGTGGGAGAAGATCTTTGCACACGATATAGGCGATAGGGGGCTAATTTCCAGGATATACAAAGAACTTCAAAACAACCAAAAAACCAAAACAAACAAGCCACTTAAGAAATGGGCATGGGAAATGGGCAAACATTTCACAAAGGAACAAGTGCAAATGGCAAACAAACATATGAAAAAATGTTCCAGCTCCCTAGCAATAAGGGAAATCCAAATTAAAACATCGATGAGGTACCACCTAACACCAGTAAGATTGGCCCACATAAACAAGAACACCAACGACGCTTGCTGGCGAGGATGCGGGGAAAAGGGAACCCTACTCCACTGCTGGTGGAGCTGCAAATTGGTACAGCCTTTATGGAAATCAGTCTGGAGAACACTCAAACAACTCAAAATCTGCATACCATATGACCCAGCAATAGCACTCCTAGGAATATATCCAAAACACCTGTTTTACGACAAACCAACATGCATCCCTATGTTCATTGCAGCACAATCAGTAATTGCAAAAACATGGAAGCAACCAAAATGCCCATCAGCAGAAGATTGGATAAGAAAGCTTTGGTTCATCTACTCCATGGAATACTACTCAGCTATTAAAAAAAACAAAATGCAGTTCTTTGTGGCTAAATGGGCACAACTGGAAACTATAATGCTAAGGGAAATGAGCGAATCCCAAAAGGTTAGATACCACATGTTTGCCTTGATTTAACCTGTAATTTTTTGTTTGGTTGTTTATTATTTTTTGAACCTGTCATTGATACTGTCTCAACCCAGATGTTTCGAAGAATGGAACTTGCATTATTTTTAACATATTGTTTACCCAATACTATGTCAATTAATTCCATAATGTTGTATATTGATACTGAGGCCTTGTTGGGGCTTTTAACTGACCGGATCTTTACTCTGTTAGACCTATCTTCAGACTAGAGAAGGTCTCCCCAAGAGGCCACTGAACTTATCTGGACAATAAGACGCTGAACTTTATGCTAGGCATGTGTTTGCAAGCAATGAATCTCAACTGAACTTGAACTACGGTTATGCAACAAGGTGGAGGAATCCACCATGGGGGGAGGGGTATGGGAGGGGAGGGGGGAATCCCCAGCGCCTATAAAACTGTACTACATAATACAATGTAAGCAACAATAAAAAACAAACAAACAAACAAACAAAAAACTCTAGCAAGGCATATGACAACAGTTGAGGTGTAGGACTATATCAGGAGGGGTGTGCAGAGAATTCTTCCATTCCCCAGTGAGGAGTATCTAATCTTTGTGTCCTCCTAGTAAGGTATATGTGAATCCACACAGACTGTTTCCTGTCTGGTTTTAAGCTTTTCTTATTGTTCTCTGCCTATTCTGATTGTGTTTGTTTGTTTGTTTGTTTTTTGGGAGGGGGCTCTGGAGCGACCCTGATGGTCATTGCCAGAGAGGATGGGGATCCAAAGTTGGAACTAAGTAAGGACCAGAGAAGGCTCCTCTCCCGAGTCCCAAAGGAAGTTTGCTGTTATTTTGTGTCTATGGACCGCTCAGGGCTCCTAGCTGTTCTGATGACCTTTGGTCCTGTGTGGAAGGATTTGGGCTTCTTCCATCCCATGTGGTAGATCCCACTGGGGGTGGGTGACCTCAGAGTCCTCGGCCTCCAAGGGCACTCCAATTCCCAGTGGTCTCTTTGGCAGTTGGGATGTAGTCCTTGGTGCCCGTACTGATAGTCCTTGGTGAGGGTCCTGCGGTCTCCAGATTTGGGATACAAGCCTCCTCCTGTCCACCAGCTCCTTGAGTGA